AACCCTACGTTTGAAATAAATTATGTGTATGGAACCATCTTTTTCTTTGATTTCTCCTTCTCCTGCTCTGTTTTCTATGACTTGGAATGATTTCATTACCAGCAAAAGCATATGACAAAGGTCTGATTGAACATTGTAGATACTTAGTGCCTTCTAATGGTCCAGAATGGGAATGTGATTTACGTGAAGCGTGCTTCGATTGAAGAGCGGTCGAATCTGCTTTGTACACTCTGCTTTTCTGCTCTGTTTGGATTATTACAAAATTAGGTATGACAGATCTCTTCCGTATGACTAAAATGTTGATCGCAATAGAAAAAGTACATTCGCGGATTATGAGACGATAGGAGAAGCGACTTTAAAGTTGTGGAAGAAAGTTTTTTCAATCAAAAACAGTGCTCACAAGGCATGAACACAGTTACACGGAGATTGACGGCGTCTCTGCATTTGAGATCCTACATGACATTATCGAAGACTCGACTCCTCTATGGGAGGATTTTGTGGTCGGAAAGTTTTTAATTGCATCTCCTCATGTAGCCAAGGTTCGTGTGATAGTGAATCAATCAAAATCGATGTCTTCGAGGTGAATTCTACTACATTCAAAACAAAACAAAAAGAGCATAATATATGGCATAAGTATATATAACAAAAAGACCATTTGTTACATGTTCGACTCACTTTCACACATCCTAACACGGCCAAGCACATTAATTAAACCAACTCTATTTGACATATATGTATATATGTGATTAGCCGGCCATTATTAGCTAGCCCATTTACGTTTTCTCTTGGCTTTACGGCCCAAACGAATATCTTAATCGAAATGTTCGGAAATGAAAATCAGACGTTCATAATGAAATGATGTTTTACTATCTAAAGTTGTGACTCTATGTGGTAATTAGAAACATTGTAGGGGCACTTCTTAATTGGTGTTAGTTAACTGATTTGATTTGAAAATTAAAAATTACATATGAGGTTTGTCTATCCAAATTGTGACTTGAGTGGTAAACACTAAACATAAACATTTGTGGGGGCATTAGGTTTGATGTGATTACTTCGCTAATAATCAAATGACAACGATGATTCCACTTAATATTTAAAGATTTTCATCTGATAAAACACATTAAATTTTAAATGTAACATTTTTAAATATAGTTATTCAATATTCATAAAATCTTAACTGGTCAGTCTGGTCCTATATTTGTTTCCTCCACACAATTTTATTCACAATATAATCAATAACATCAAGAATTTATTGCTTAATCTTAAATAATTGACACATACAAGTATCAACTAAAAACAGCTGTTAAACAAAAATCAAGATCAATTCGACACAAATAATTTAGACTCAAACCAGGAATTCGTATGGTTTATTTTTTGTATGAAACTTCTTTTTTCTTATAAGATATTTGATGTATGAAAATTTCTTTCAAGATCTTGCAATTTTGCATGCAAGAAGCCAAGAAAACACGAAAATAATCGAAATATCTTTTGGATATGGAAACTTATATATATATCTACAAAATATGAAAACAAAATGACTTCGTAGATAAGAATAACTATATGTCTACTATTTGCTTTTGTAATCACCGTCGACGAGACCAACCATCGTCGAAATTCAGATGATAACTCCGGAGATCATAACTACACTGAATATTATTACTATCACTCTTCCGCGACCACCTCAAACGCGATTTCAACCTCCAAGCAAATTGCTTCAAGAGAACACGCGGTTTCCCACAACATGAGAACGCAAACGCCACAATTGCTCTTGCCTCTGATTCATTTCCTAGCGTTCCTGAAGTCGCGGCCGAGCTCCCGATTCGCTTTCCCCATTTCCGGAACTGAAGTCTCTTCAAGCTCTGCTTGTTCATCATAGCCTTATTGTTAGTTTACTCTCTTTTTGTCTCTTTTGTAAGAGTGAATAAGTGTGTAGATGTAATGAAGAAGCAAAGAATGATAAAAATATATAAAGAGCCAAGTTTGATAGAGAGAGGCTATGTGGTTTGCAACGTGTGGAATTATGATTTGTGGATGGAAAGTGTTTAGTCAAAAAATAGTCGAAAGTGCATCATTCACCACCATATATCCAAATCTTGTCTAATACCAATATGAAAACGTAATGTTTATAAAAGTATTTAAATCTAGTACCACTTTAATAGACTACCCCCAATGACATAATTGCACTTTAACTTTATGCTATTGTGGCTAAACGAAATTATCTATAGGCAAAGCATGGCCACGCAAGTTTTTAAACGACCCCCAATACAATGATATGAGATCATGAGTTATTAGATAGAACATCAATATATTATTAAACGTTATAAACAAAATAAATATATTACAATAATACTTGCCTATATATGAGATCAAATCAACACTTGAACCATACAGAATGAGCAAGTGATGAATTACAGGCCTTCTAAAAAAAATTGTGTTTTTGAATTTCTTTAAGGGAAATTGACAAAAATAACACAAAAACAAATTATATTATAAAAACTAACCAAAATCACCATTT